CGTGCAACTTTTAACGACATAAGGGACTATCCGAGTTAATTTTTGAAAATAGGGACTAAACACGCTTTCTGGCATATGTGCGAGAGACGATTGGTGTAATTTACCCATAAATATATAAGCGCAATATGGTAAAAGTTAAAGAGCTCAATAAGGAAATCAGATTTCTGGAGGATTTTTAGGGATTCTTATAGATAATTTTTTTTTAATTATTTAGGATTTTAAAGTTTGAATTTTTAAAACACTAAGTTTATCTTGATTTAAAAAAAAAATACAAAATTTGAAACAACTATGTAGATTCACGTTAGATAGTCCAAAACATTATCTTTATGCGCATATATCATTATAAAATTCTAATGAGAATATTAACTATAACCTGTTACCATTGCAGATTCATACTAGAATGTATCAAATTCAATTCAGAATCAAACATTAAGTTAATATTCATACTTTGAACATCCAATAAATAAATTTCGAGTAGCAAGATAAGTCAGGCAATTTCAATTATGAATATAAAAATATTATATGCAATAAGCAAGTTTTGAAACTAACGCAAATTCTATTAAGAATATACATATATTATCGATTAGGTGTGAGACTCATGTATTACATGAGTTTATTTAAAAAAAAAACTAACTACAAAATTCTACACATTTGAAAAGTATGAATTTATAAGAAAAATGAGAAAATATTGAATTATAAAAATTTGAGTGTTTTTTTTTCACTTTTAAATTTAAACAAATAATTTATAGAAATAAATAAAGAAAATTAATGAATCTTTAATTTGGTAATTTTGAAATTAGTAAAGTTTATTAATGAAAATTGATATGCATTTATTATTGAATATAAATAAATACTATCTACAATTTAATAAAATGAAAAAGCGATAAAATGACATGAGGAATAAAAAATAATTTAAAATAACCACAAAATTACATGTGGCAAAATAAATAAGAATATGACATGTGACAAAAAGATCTTTATTTATTAGGGAGGCTTTCTAATATAACTCATATTAGCTTGAAATTGAATTGTATCATGTTGTAGATGGAACGATGTACCAGCCTCACATCATAATGATTTGTTAACATTTATTTTCCTTTTTCACCTTTAATCAACTGCAACTAGGCTACTGACCTATCTTAGTTGAAATACTTGGGAAACACTCCTGAAATTAACATTGTTTCAAGGCATTAAAATATGGAATATCATTAATGTGTATTAAAAAACTTGAAAAAAAAACTTATGAGAATGTTATGAAATATATAAACTAAATACCAAATTGTACAAATGAAGCAAGAACGGGTTCTAGAACCACATGAGGATCACTATCAAGGTCTATATCACATCCATCTTCATAGTCTCTCATACACTATTCAATCACCTTAAACATCTCGGAATTGAAACTCACCTTCTTCAATCCATATTGTATGATTTTCTTGTAATTGAAGAGCAAAGAATCCCGCTTCTTTACAAATTGCAGAAAAAATAGATTTAAGATGGTATATCAACCCACAACCTTAAATCGATTTAACAAGTGTGTGGAACTAAATTAAGGTGAAAGACAAAGAAATCCAAAACTCAGTTTTCCCAACTGTCACACCCCCAAACCAAGGATGGCGGAAACGTCCGGGGGTGGCGGACTTCATGTATAGTTTCATAACAATGAGTATAATAGTGATCAAAGCAATACAACCAATCATAAATATAATCGGAAAAGAATTGCATGGTTTCAAGTGTTACATATTTCAATGATTGAATACAACATGATATAAAAATAGTTGTTCAACGCTGCAGCGTTCCATCCTCAAAAGCTTGTGGTTATCTGGTTTCATTGATTTCCTGAGAATACAAGTAGTTTTGAAAAAGTGTCAACAATTAAGTTGGTGAGTTCATAAGCTTTTTAGATGAAAAGTTTGGAAACCGATCTTTGTAATGAGTAGTGTGTTACCAAGAAAAATCCAATATTTTCCTTATGAAAGTGATATGTAGTCTTAAATCCCAAGACTGAATGTACGTGTGAGTTTTGTGTTATGTGGTCTCAAATTCCAAGACCGAAAGTGTACAAGTAAAATCCATACTTATTGTTATAAAAGTGGCTTTAAATCGACATAAAACCCTTTTTGATTTATAAAATCCCCGTAAACTTTATGTGTTGTTAACTCCCTATGTGAGTCGCTATAACCATACTATGACTAATGAACCTGCCACGACGTTTCTCAGGCGTCGAAAAAAAAAGATATGACATTTGTCATCCGTAGACCTCGAGGTCCTACTGCAGCTAACAGCAAGGTGTGGGGTGTCAATCCCAATATAGATCTATACACAACTATCACGTTCTCCCTACAAGAGACTCTGGTTATAAATACCAGGAATTTTAACCCATACTCTAGGAGTACTAAGAAGAATGTCTCACAATTTAAGTTAAAAAGTTTACGTGTAGCGTGCGTAAGTGTAAAACCTTTTTCTGTGGGAATAAAACCATCCGAAATGTGTTTGTTGTGTTAATGGAAACATAAACTATACCTATTATAGTTTATCAAATAATGGTAGTAGTAGTGAACATAAACTCTACTTACAATAGTTTATCAAAATGTTTGTATGCAATGGATATAAACTTTGGTTATTATAATTAATTACCATATTTGTGGAGGTAAAAATCCATTTGTTTTCTGATGTATGTCTATTTACCAAGACAAAATGACATATAATATAACACATATATGCACATAATGATACACACCTTGCTCAACAAGTTACAAGGTGTAAATGAAATTGATAACATTTTTCTAGTGTTAACATTTCTATTCCTGTTCTTAGAAAATTTATAGAGAAATGATCAAAGGTCCAAATCAGAATCCGTAAATTCTGAGAGTTTGGAAAATGTGTCTAGTTTGTTCATAAATTTTATTATCATTTTTAGTGACCACCCACTTGTGTGAAAAAGTCCATATTCACAGACTGGTCCGGATTTGTTCTTGAAATGATAGGCAGTTTTGTAAAAATCACCATAAATTGTAGAAAAATCGTATGGAGATGTGAAAGTAGTCATTTTAAAGGTATGAACCTGAACTATTTTCACCTAATACAGTTTTGAAAACTAAAATGTTTAAGTTGACCAAAACAGTCCGTGAATGGAGTTAAGCTTTTCTGATGAAAGCTGTTGTTTGAGTTTAGTTAAGTTTTTGGTGTTTTAACTTGTATCCCCCCCCCCCTTAAAACTTAGGAAAAACGTGAAAAGATAGGGGTATGAACTCACCTTGTGTTGTTTCAGTAGATGGATGATGAAGAAAAGAAAGTGT